GGAAAGCCTTTGCTTTCTTAGTAAAGAGTCAGCCATGACTGGGGCTTCCCCTTACCTGTTCTTTCTTCTTTGAATGTGGGTATAATGCCCCAAATGGGGGTAGCCATCTTGTGACAGTGGGGTGACAAGAATGAGGGGAAGGCCAAAAAATCTGGTGACACTGAGCCAGAGAGAACCAAGGCCTGAGGCTGCCTACTTTCAGACATTTTGTTATAAAGAGTAAAACAAACAAGCAAACAAAAAACAAAAATCAAAATACCTGTTTGTTTAAGAACTTAAAACTGGTTTATCTGAACCTCATGACCATTCAAAACTGATTAAATCCTTCCAGACTTTTTCTATATGTATATTTATTTTGTAAAAATATTAAATACAGCCCTGGCTGGCATAGCTCAGTCGATTGAGTGTGGACTGTGAACCAAAGGGTCACAGGTTCAATTCCCAGTCAGGGCACATGCCTGGGTTGTGGGCTAGATCCCCAGTGGGGGCCATGTGAGAGGCAACTACACACTGATGTTTCTCTCTCTCTCTCTCTCTCTCCCTTCCTTCCCCTCTCTAAAAAACAAATCTTAAAAAAATTAAATACAGAGGAGACTGCCACTTAAGATGGTGGCATAGGTAAACATGGATCTTGTCTTCCCACAACCACGTCAAAATTACAACTAAACAGAACAACCATCACTCAGAACCATCAGAAATTGAGTTGAATGGAAGTCTGACAACTAGGAAATTAAAGAAACCACATCATCCAGACTAGTAGAAGGGGTGGAAACGTGGAATGGGCTGGTCCCACATCCATGTGTGGTGGATAAAAATTCCAGAGGGATATCTTGGGAGCAAGGAGTCCCAGCCTCACACTAGGCAGGGTTCCAATGTCAGAAAGATAAGTATCCATAACTTCTGGCTGAAAAAAACAGTGGGGATTGAGTTGGTGGGAGAAACTTTCCGAGTCCCAAGCAGTTCCTCTAAAATAACCCCCACACAGACTTACTTAGACTCATTCCCTCTGAGCTCCAGCACTAGGGTAACAGTTTGAAAAGCATCAGTGGCATACAGGGAGAAACTGATGTGTTTTGCCTCAAGGCGAGAGCTGGGGGACAGCTTTCTTCAAGACAGAAAGGCAGGCAGAGGTCATTGTCCTTTATCTGAACCCTCTCCTAACAGAGCCACAGAACGAGCAGGGAGGTGCCATATCTGGGACTCCATCAACCTGGTTTACACTGTTTGTCCAACCTGGAGATTCCCTGCAGCTCCACCCCACCAAACTTATGGGCCCATCCAAGTGGCTTTGCCATATGAATGGCTGCTCTTGGCTCATGATTCACGACTTCCTAAAACAAGCAACAGCCAGCCTCGGTGAGCCTGGAGCTCCTGTAGCTCTTGCTAAGCAGCCCCAGGCCCAGCACTAGCAGCAACCAGCCTAGATTCACAGCTTGGCTTTGCCTGGGAATCTCTAAGCCCAGCACAAGTAGCAGCCTTATCAGATTGCTTTATAGCTCAGGCAGGATGGCCCAGGGAAAAACACAGGTGGGGGCTGACCTTGGTCTGCACCACCCAGGAAACAGCAGAACCTGCACACCTAATGAACAGCTACATACCCCATTAGAGCACTACTACCCTGTCCCTGCACATGTGATCCACCACGGAGGGTAGAGTTTTGTGGTAAGTGGTCACAGCCAATCCTTGCAGGTGACTGGCTTGGGTAAATCCGTCCCATTGACTTGCCAACAGCAATCAAGGCTCAATTACGAGAGAGTGTATTCAGCCCACATAAAGGGCACACCTCAAATACCCAGCTTGGGCAATAGGGGAGGCCCTGCCACTGGATCCTACAAGATACCTACTACATTAGGCCACATCGTCAAGACACAGAGTCATAGCAGCCCTACCTAATACATAAAAACAAATACAGGAAGGCTGCCAAAATGAAGAGATTAAAAAACATGGCCCAATTGAGGAAACACATCATAACTCCAGAAAAAGAACTAAACAAAAGGGAGATAAGCAATCTATCAGATGCAGAATTCAAAACACTGGTTATAAGGATGCTCAAGGAACTTAGGACTTCAACAGCATAAAAAAAAAAAAAAAAGATCCAGTCAGAAACATAGGATTCACAAATTGAAATAAAGAAAAACTTACAGGGAAACAACAGTAGAGTTGATGAAGCCAATAATTAAATCAATGATTTGGAACATAAGGAAGAAAAAACAACCAATCAGAACAAGAAGAAGAAAAAGGTCTAAAAAAATGAGGATTGTATAAGCAGCCTCTGGGACAACTTCAAGTGGTCCAACATTCACATCATAGGTGCACCAGAAAGAGAAGAGAAATAGCAAAAAATTGAACATATATTTGAAAAAATAATGAAAGAAAACTTCCTAATTTGGTGAAGGAAATAGACATGCAAATCCAGGAAGCACAGAGAGTCCCAAATAAGATGAATGCAGAGGCCCATTCCAAGACACATTGTAATTAAAATGCCAAAGTTTAAAGATAATGAGAGAATCTTAAAAACAGTAAGAGAAAAGAAGTTAGTTATTACTACAGGTGGGTTCCCATAAGACTGTCAGCTGATTCCTCAAAATAAGTTTTGCAGGCAAGAAGGGATTGGCAAGAAATATTCAAAGTCATGAAAAGCAGGGACCTGCAGCCAAGATTGCTCTACCTAGCAAATCTATGATTTAAGGTTGAAGGGCAGATAAAGAGCTTCCCAGACAAGAAAAACTAAAAGAGTTCATTACCAAACCATTAATATTTGAAATGTTAAAGGGACTTACTTAAGAAAAAGTTCAAAACTATAAAATGTCAATAAATACCTATCTATCAACAATTGAATCTAAAAAAGAAACTAAGCAAACAAGAAGAACAGAGACAGAATCATGCATGCAGAGAGTGTTTTGATGGTTGCCAGATGGGAGAGGGGTGTGGGGGGAAAGGTGAAGAGGTGAGGGGATTAAGAAGTACAAATAGGTAGTTACAGAATAGCCTTGGGGATGCAAAGTACAGTATAGAAAATGGAGCAGCCAAAGAACCTATGCATGACCTATGGCAGTGAACAATAGTGTGAGCATTGCATGGAGTGGGGGGTGCTGGGTGGAGGGGTGCAAAGGTGGAAAAATTGGGACAACTATAATAGCATAATCAATAAAAGATAATTTAAAATATTAAATACATACACTGCTTTTTAACTTGCTTTCCAAATGTACAAATTATGTGCAAAGTTGTATAATATTAAAATAATATACAATATTATAAGAATCATTTCCTGTCATTTACTATTGTCCAACATTTTTCATTTTGCTGCCTTCAGAATACCCACTGTATGATTGTAACATAATGTATTTAATCAGTCCTTTACCATTGCACATTCAGTGGTTTACAGGCTTGTTTTCAAAGGGGAGGTTTGCTGTGCTGGTATAAACAATTCATCCTTGCACTAACTGGTAAACCTCTGAGCATCTTTGTAGTTACATTCACATAACAAGTCGAAGATGCCTGTGCTAGCCTCTAGGGGGCACTAAGAGATGAGTGAAATGTGGTCCCTGTCTTTAAGGAGCTCATAATGGACTGCAGAGACAGGTAGGACAACAGGCAGTGATATAATACAAGTGATATAAGAACAAGTGACAGCTGTGGTAGGCAGCTTCTGACAAGGTTCTGGGTGATCCCTGCCTCCTAGTGTTTATGATCTTGTGTAATTCCCTACCTGTGAATATGGGCTGGACCTAGTGAAACACTGCTAATGAATGGAATATGACCAAAGTGAGGGGATGTCACTTCTATGATTAGGTTACAAAGGACTGGGACCGCTACCCTGCTAGCATGCTTGCTCTTGCCCTCTCATTTGCTTGTTCTGATGATGCCAGCTGCCATGCTTATGTAATGGAGAGGCCTACATGGCAAGGAACAGAGGGAGGACTCTGGCCAGCAGCTCCTGAGGAACTGAAGCCTCAGTCTAACAGCCTGTGAGGAAGTGAATCCTGACAACGATCATGTGAGCTAGGAAACAGATTTTTTTTTTGCTGAGCCTTGAGATGACTGAGGGCTCAGCTAAACCATGCCTGCATGCCTCATCCACAGATACTGTGAAATAATGAATGTGTGTTATTTTAAGCTACTACATTTGGGGGACACTTGTTATGCAGCAATAGATAATGAATGAACAGTGGAGTAGCACAAAGTAGCACAAGATATGATGGTTACATATGTGAAGATGAAGCACCAAACCACTGTGGTGGGGAAAAGCTACATGTGGTAAGACTTCTGAGAGGAGGGCAGGCTTGCATTGCATTTTACAGGCTAGAGAGGCCTTTGGGGAAGGAGGGAGAGAAGGCATTTCCAGGTAGAGTTTGCGGAACAATAAAGTGTTATGACCATTTCCCAAACCTGATACCAGCTTACTTTTTGCACCCTTAATCAGAGGTGAATTTACTGTGAAAGCAACAGAGCTTAAGCTTCAGTGCCCCTTCCAAACATACCCCTTCCAAAGCCCAGGAAGGGCACAGCAGTTTTGTGTTGATAATTTTGCATTCTTTTTCTTGACGAGGTCACCCAGCTTCAGGCCGCTGTCAATGGACCTGCCAGGATACTTCCGTTGCCCTGCCACTCACCCCTCCTCGTCTATACAATAGACTCATCAATATAGTTTTTTGTATTTTATTTGGCTCTGACTCTTTCAAAGCTGTTTCTCAGCAGTGCCTTGCCTTGCCCCTCCTGCCTTCACTTCCTTAATATGAACAATCTAGGTTCTGTAGTCTTTCCTCACAGGTCCTATTTTCTAACTCATTAATCATTTTTACTGCTATTTTTGAAGCCTCTCATAGTTTTCCCTTGGGTAGTGGTGCCCAGAATGAATGTGTTTTTCTAAACAGCAAGTCTGACTTCTGGCCAAATGGCATCTGAGCAAGGCCACTTTGGGCCTGGCAGAGTCCCCAGGGAAAGTCTCTTTGTCCTGTGTCACCCCACACCCAATTTCAGAATGACAACAATTCAGAGAAGTGAAAGGAGGGACTAGGGAGAGGTAGAAGAGGTAATAGGAAAGGAGGAGCCCTGCTATTTTCTTAAGGGTGGGACCTCTCTTTTAGGACACTGGTGGCAGAATTTCAAGATGGTGATGGTCTGCCAGAGAGAAGGAAACTGACATTATGCGTGCCTACTCTGTGCTAGGCACAAGGACTTTTTAGCCATTATCTCGTGGAATTCTTTGTACATCTCTGACAGTTAAGAGCAAGACTCTTCATTTTATCGCTGAGGAAACTGAGGTTCAGAGGGGAGAAGTTGTGTGCACGACCCACAGTAAGTACAGGATCCTGCCCTTACCTCACAACCCCCTTTCCTTTATTTGTTCTCTCAGGGGCATTATCACTGACATTCAAGTTCTAGATGAAAATGGTTGGGCATGCAGCAAAACTCCCCCTGGAAATAAGTTTAATGAAAAAGTCAGGCAGACTAAATTTTGTTTCTGGAAGATCTGTCTAAATGAAGAAGACTCACCAGTGAGCGGGGAGCCCTCCCAGGGTTGGAATTCATTTCCAGGAAGAAACAAACAAGCAAACAAACAAACAAACAAAACTTGACAAAAAAGAAGGCAGGCAATCTGGGCCCCAAGCCAGGAAAAGGTTAAGAGGCTTGACAGACTACAGCAAGGGGATAACAATGAAAGTAATGAAAATAATAACTACTGTTTACTGCGCTTTTACAAAGTGCCAGGCACTGTGCCAGATGTTTGCTATAACTTAGTGCATTTTGTCCTCACAATAACCCTACTAAAAGGTAAGGTTAGCATTCCTATTTTTAAATTGGAAGCCTGAAGATGAAGAAACTTACACACAGGTAGGCAGTGGCGATGCAGGGACTTGGGTCTAGGTGCTTCTGGCTTCAAAGTCATTGCTTTTAACCATTAGGCTTTAGTAACTCAAGGAGATGGGAGTGGGAGAAAACTAATTCTGGTGGGTGATGTTAACACGGAGAAACAGGGGTTAACAAGTGCTACCAATTGGGAGGGTGTGGCATACGGGAGGTAAGGGCTTGTCAGATCCAGTTCTTGTGGGCAGCAGGAGTAACTCAGGGGACCCTCCAGCTAGCAGTTGAGCACTGTGGGAGGTGTCTGCAAAGGAAGCTCAAGGATCCAGAGTGGATGGAGATAAGCAGAGGGGCTCAATTATCCATTGATCTCTCTCCGAATTGGCTCAGAAACTTGAGGGGGAGGGGCTTTTGCCTCAGGGATGCTAATTTGAGGCCGGCCCAGGGAGCTGGGAGTCTGGGTGCTACAGTGCTGGAGTCACACACTTGTGTTTGAATCCTGCCTCTTCCTTCTGGGACTCCGGCTCAGTGATTTAACAACCCTTGAGCCCCAGTTTTCTGTAAAGTAGGGATAATCCGAGTAGTATATATAGCTAAATAATAGATAATAATGGTGCTGTTGAGAAAATTCAGTGAGTTGATGGTTGTGAAGGACAAACACAGTGCCTGGGACAATGGTTGCCTGGTAAACAGCAGCCATATGATTGTGAGATTCCCTCCTCAGCGGGGCAGATGAAGCTCCTTCTACTTTCCACTTATTTTCACTTCCACTGCCTGCTTTGGTAGGAAAGTGAGGCTGTATTCCAGGGAATGAGTCAATTTAGTGCTTCTCTCGCTGTTCATTTATTCAAACTCTGAATGCTTTTTATTGTTTTGTTTGTTTGTTTGTTTCTGGGTTTTTGTTGTTATTGTTGGTCACAGCTCATCTCACATTGTAATTTGTCTCTTGCCTGGAAGATATTAAACTGTCATATAAAAGCAGTAGATTTTCCATGCTAGAAATTTTGCCTATGCCATTTTTCTGTGTCTTTTGTAGACAAAACATTGTATTACCTATGGTTCATTGGTTAAAAACATCAGCAACTAGCTATGGTGTTAATGACAACAGCAAAGATAAGTGATTGGAGAGATGACAGAGCTCACTGAACAAAAAGCTGAACACCAAGGCTTGGGAAAGAAAACAGAACTTCTGGCCAAGATAGGGGCGTAGGTAGACACACTGTGCTTCCACGCACAACCAAAATAAGGACAACAACAATTTAGAAACAAAATAACAACCAAAACTGACAGAAAATTGAATGGAAGTTCAACAACTAAGGAGTTAAAATAGACACATTCATCCAGACTGGTAGGAGCAGTGGAGTCGGGCAGCTGGGCAGAGGGGGGTTGAGGTGAAAAAAGCAGTGGCACTGGATGTGCGAGGCAACAGCTGACAAACCCAGGGCACTCAAGACAGCAGTGGGTGGACCCCGGGTGCACAGGTGGTGGCTGGCAGACCCAGCAAGGCGGTGATTGTGAAGCAAGGCACTGTGTGCAAGGTGGCTGGCTGACCGGGCAGTGGTCCCACATTCATGTGCACAGATAAACCAGGGGAAATTGAGGAGTGAGACAGACCACACAACTTGCGGGTCCAGCACTGGGAAATAAAGCCTTAAAACACCAATTGAAAATACCTGTGGGGGTTGAGGTGCAGAGAGAGACACCCAGACTCACAAAAGAGTTTGTTGGGGAGACCCACGGGGTCCTAGAACATACATAAGCCCACCCACATGGGAACCAGCATCAGAAAGTCCCAGTTTGCTTGGGGGAAGCAGCGGAAGGGACTGAAATTCAACAGAGAGTGGAGCAAGCACCATTGTTCTCTCTTGGACCCCACCCCCACAAACTGTGTTACAACTCAGCAACTGGGTTGCCCCACCCGGGCTAAATACCTAAGGCTCCACTTCTCACTAGATAACAGGTGTGTCAAGACAAAAAATAAAAGGCCCAAACGGAAGAACAGGTCAAAGCTCCACAGCAAATACAACTAAGTGACAAAGAGATAGCCAACCTATCAGATGCACAATTCAAAGCACTGGTGATCAGGATGCTCACAGAACTGGTTGAATTTGGTCGCAAATTAGATGAAGAAAGGAAGGCTATGCTAAGTGAAATGAAGGAAAATGCACAGGGAACCAATAGTGATGGGAAGAAAACTGGGACTCAAATCAATGGAGTGGACCAGAAGGAGGAAAAAAACCATCAACCAGAAAAGAAGGAAGAAACAAGAATTCAAAACAATGAGGAGAGGCTTAGGAACCTTCAGGACATCCTTAAACATTCCAACATCCAAAGTATAGGGGGTACCGGAAGGAGAAGAGAAAGAGCAAAAAGTGGAAAAGTTATCTGAACAAATAATTAAGAAGAACTCCCCCAATCTGGTGAAGAAAACAGACTTCCAGGAAGTCCAGGAATCTCATAGAGTCCCAAAGAAGTTGGAGCCAAGGAGGAACACACTAAGGCACACTACAATTATATTAGCCAAGATTGAAATGAAGGAGAGAATCCTAGAAGCAGCAAGAGCTAAGGGGACAGTCACCTACAAAGGAGTTCCCATCAGACTGTCAGCGGATTTCTCAAAAGAGACCTTACAGGCAAGAAGGGGTTGAAAAGAAGCATTCCAAGTCATGAAATGCAAGGACCTACATCCAAGATTGCTCTATCCAGCAAAGCTTTAATTTAGAATGGAAGGGCAGATAAAGTGCTTCTCAGATAAGGCCAAGTTGAAAGAGTTCATCATCACCAAGCCCTTATTATATGAAATGTTACAGGGACTTATCTAAGAAAAAGAAGATAAAAACATGAACAGTGAAAGGACAGCAAATACACAATTATTAACAACCACACCTAAAACAAAAGCAAACTAAGCAGACAGCTAGATGAGAAGCGGAGCCACAGAAATTAAGATCACATAGAGGATTAGCAATAGGGGAGTGGGAAAAGTAGAGGGGGAAAAAGGTTCAGAGAATAAGTAGCATAGGTGGTAGGTAGAAAGTAGATGGGGGGAAGGCAAGAATAGTATGGGAAATGTAGAAGCTAAAGAACTTATGACACATGGACATAACTAAAGGGGGGGGAATGTGGGTGGGAGAGGGTGTGCAGGTGAAGGGGAATGAAGGGGGCAGAATGGGACAACTGTAATAGCATGATCAATAAAGTATATTTTTAAAAAAGACTTAGAAAAAGCTCACAGAGTAGCACCAGGGATCTAGGTAGCAGGAAGTGTTGAGCAGTCCAATCACTATCAGATATACCTTGTGCTAATTTACCCAAGGTGAAATTCTTCCAAGGGAGCTTTGACTGACCTGACTTGGGTTGTGCATCTATCCATCTTTTTCAGGGAAAGAGAGGGTACCTTGATTGAAATTCATCATAAGGGAGCATACGCTGGGGGAGAGTAATGCCCAGAAGATAAATGGAAGTCTGTTACCATACGACACATACGTATGCTGGGTGAGCACAAACAGCAGGTGTCCTCTATGAATACTGTTCTGTGTTGAAATATCAAGATTCTGAAATTTTCAAGTGTTCTCAAATATGCAGAATGGTCAAAACAATAAAACAATGATTACATATATACCCTTCATTTAAATTCAACAATTGCTTTTTTCTAAAAAATATTTTATTTATTTATTTTTAGATAGAGCAGAAGGGAGGGAGAGAGGCAGAGAAACAGCGTGTGGTTGCCCCGCAGGCACCCCCAGCTGGGGACCTGGCCCACAACCCAGGCACGTGTCCTGACTGGGAATCGAATCAGCGAGCTTTTGGTTCGCAGGCCAGCACTCAATCCACTGAGCCCTGCCAGCCAGGACTAAATTCAACAATTGCTAATATGCTGCTACATGTGCTTTAATTTCTCTGTGCATTTTTAAATTTGATGAACTATTTGACAACTATAGACATTATGGCTTTTACCCTTCAAATATTTTAGGAATTTTCCGAGGATAACAATACTTTCCTACATAACTGCAATACCATTACCACATCTAGGAAAGTTCATAAATATGCCATAATATCTCCTAACAGTGAGTTTATGTTCAAATTTCCTCAATTGAGACAAGAATGTATTTTAGACATCCTAACAAACCTGAGACAAAGCCTTCCTGTGGGTATACAGTGGAGCAAATAAAAAAGTTTTCAAGATAAATAAAGGCAGCTCAATGGACAAAGTTCAGTTGAATGCTATAATACAAACGGAGATTGCTGTCACAAAGAATATGAAAAATAATGAAGTAAAGATATTCACAGCTGATAGTCTCATCATTAACCTTAAATCAACTTAGTTTGTTTTACAAAAAAATACTATGAAATATTCACAATAACAAGCCATTAGAATAGGCACAATCACACTTGAACTTTCCCATAGGTTTAGTAGGTTCGACAACTATTTTCTTTATCATATAAAGAAAACTAAGTGGTACTTGGTAAATTTCTATTTCATTCAAAAGATTTTCATATACATGACATCTAGTATGTGTCGGTATGAATAAATTACCATTAAACCCTTCATAAGAATCATATAAGGTTTTTAAAAACAGCTTAATTAAGATGTAAGTTGTATGCAATTCAGCCCACCACTATTATTCAAGTATGTAGTTAATTTAATGAGTTTTTTAATATATACAATTTTATTATGGCTACCACAATTACATAGAGAATTCCAAAATTTGTATTTCTATACTCCATTAATACTGATTTATCAAATAAAAAATACACAAACAAAACTAACATTTATACTATCATATAAGTACTGTGCATTAAATGTTTGGAATAATATTTTCCAATATTGAATTTCCATGATTTATGTATCCAGTATATATCTGGTGAAAGTAATTTTCACTACCAATGTAAAGTAATATTTTGTCAAGGGCATGTTAATTGTAATTTTGTTTCAAAATAAAATTTATTTTATAAATTGTAATTGAAAATAAAATTTGACCTTTATACAAAAAAAGAATTTGTTTTATAGATTTTCTTTTTGTCAAATCAAGATTGAATCAAAGGTCATTCATTGCACTTGGTTGTTGGGTGTCTTTATTCTCTTTTAGTTCCCCTAAAATTTTAAGTTTTTTAACGACATTGACATTTTGAAGATTCAGGCTAGTTGTTTTGTAGAAAATTTTACATTACTTCCATTGCATGGCTTTGTTTTAGATGTTTTATTGTGGCAAAATATACATAACATAAAATTTGCCATTTTAACCATTCTTGAAGTATATTGTTCAGTACATTGGCGTTCAGTACTTTGGTATGTTGTACAACCATCACTATTATCTGTTGCTAGAACTTTCTTCATCACCCCAAACAGTAACTCTGTACCAATAAACAAGTCCATATTTTTCTCCCGCTTCCTGGTAACATCTCTTCTCCTTTCTGTCTCTCTGAATTTGCCCATTTTAGGTACCTCATCAAGTGGAAACATACAATATTTGTCCTTTTATGTTTGGCTTATTTCAGCTGCTAAATAAATAGGTTGATCTACATCAAAATGAATGTTTCCTCAGGAACTCCTTGGTGAACATCAGACAGGTAACAGTGGTGGCAGTAGCTCTGACAATGGCCAGGGTCTGTGCTGCCTCCCTGGAATCTAGGTAAGCTCCATGATGCCTTTGATCCGTTGACTTGGATGGAAATGATGTTGTTTCAGTTTGCAGGCTTGCCTTAAGAGAATGGCAGCTTCCAAGACCTGTCTGTGGAGCCTGAGCTGCCACGTAAAATGTTCAACTACCTTGATGGAGAGACCATGAGGAAAGGCTCTGAGATGACAGGGGGAGAGGAGCGGCTGAACCCAGTCTTCCCTACCGTTCCCATCAAGTGCCAGGCACATGAGAAGGCTGTGCTGGACCCTGCAGACTAGCTTGGCTGCCAGTTAGAATTCTACCGACTGACCCTGGTTGATTGCATATGGAAGAGAAAAATCACCCAGCTGAGTCCTGGCCAAATCACTGACTGAAAAGTTGTGAGATATACTACAGTGGTTGTTTTAAGCCACCAAATTTTGGGGTAGTTTGTTACATAGCAACACATAACCAAAATATGTCCTCAAGTGAGGTCTTAGTGAATACAAAGTTGGCTGTGTAAGGATGCAGAAACTGTCCCATTTATATTGGGTTGGACAAAAAGTTCATTTGTTTTTTTCCATAAGATGGCTTTACTAGTAGCACTTAGTTGTCTTTACCTTAATTTGAAACAGTTTTGTCAGACTGTATTATGACAGCTGCCATATCAGCATGCATTTCAAAAAACTTATATCAAAATTGGTGAATTTTTGTGTACCCATTTTAATATTGAAGATGGGAGGAAATGGGCAACATTTTCAGCACATTATGCTTTATTATTTCAAGAAAGGTAAAAACGCAACTGAAATGCATAAAAAGATTTGCATAGTGTATGGAGAAGGTGCTGTGACTGATTAAAAAGTTAATTATCCAGAAGCAAACAGTTGGAGCCAGACAATAGGAAGGAGCTGACAGAGGTGCTTTCACTCCTTCAAGTGCTCATTACACGTCTCAGTGACTGCCCTGCATTTACGGGGATGCTATCACCTGGTTCAAGTTAATACAACTCCTACTTGTCAGACGTGGGGCTTTAAAGATGCCTGCAAAAAAGTCTAATGAACAAAAACGTGACTGTATGGAAAAACAAGACTATAAGCAAATCTCTAAGAAAAAAAGACTCTCCAGATTTGAAATTAAGATTACATGAGATAGAATTTATATTCATTCTTGTTAATAATGACCCTTGACCTGTGTGTATGTCATGCCTGATGACAGAATAAAGGCTGCATAGCATTAGGTCTACTTTGAATTTTTTTTTTGAGGAACTGTTTTCCATAGTTTTTCTATAATGTTTTCCATAGTGGTGGAAACCTTTTATAATCCTACGAACTACAGATTGCTTTTAGAGTTTCAGCAGTCATGTATATAATAAGATTGTGTTAGGTACAATAGAGAACATCGACAGAAATAAAGCCCAGACCAATGTACTTCAGATATGTCGATTAGGAGAGTTTAAAATGTAACTGTTAAAAAACATTGATCATACTTTCATTATTATTATTTTTGCAATGGAAACATGTAGCCCTGACTGGTGTGGCTCAGTGGGGTGGATGTCATTGCGAAAAGCAAAAGGTTGCCGGATTGATTCCCCTGTCAGGGCACACGCCTGGGTTGCAGGTTTGGACCTGGTCAGAGTGTGAGAGGCAATCCATGTTTCTCTCCTTCTCTTTCTCCCTCCCTTTCCCTCTCTCTAAAAATAAATAAATAAAATCTTTTGAAAAAAGTGGAAACACATCATTCACAGACCTTATTTTTAGATATTTCAGTGTAACTAGACTTTTGATCTATATTTTGGCTTTTTAAACAGAAAGATCTTGCTATAATATTTTTGGAGCATTTTAATAGCCTTTTCTTTGTCTTAAATTTTTAATGAAGCATTTCAGATCTACAGCAAATAATCTAAGTACGAGTACCTATAACCCGGATTAAATAAAACCATATTTTTGTCCTTTTTCTTTATATCTGTCAACAGTAGTGTAGGAAAACAACAACAAACATTTCCACTCCTCCTGACCATGACAGTAATCATAAATGCATGACATCGGAGAAAAAAATTAGGAAGTAAATGAATTCATATTTGGTTACCTATTTGCTCTCCCTATAATTTTAGAGGAACATAGCCCAATAGTTAAAATCATGGGCTCTGAAGTCATAAGACTTGATCAAGTCCTAGGTCTGCTTCTTGCTAGTTTTGTGTCCTCAAGCAAGTTCTTAATCTATCCCTATCTCAGTTTCCTGCTCTGTAAAATGGATATAAGATTATCTTCCCAAGGTGTTTAAGAGTTCAAAGAAAAAGGAGTTCTTATACAGCCAGTGACACGTAGCAACGCTGCAATAAATATTGGTAATTATTTACTTTGTTTATTGAGCATCAGCTATATAGCAACCATTCTAGTGCTGCCTGAGAATTCAGCAATGAACAAGAGAGACAAAGACCCCTATGGAGCTTACTTTCTAGTGACAAATGAGCAAAGCAATTTCAGATAGTGGTGGGGACTGTAAAGAAAAGATAAGGTGTGGAAGGGAAGGGGGTGCAGGAGGCCCTTTAGGTAGGAGACAGGATAGTGAGAGGCCTGAATGAAGCCTGCAGAAGTGAAATTTAACTGAGAATAGCAGAAGGAACCAGTCATTTAGAAGTTTGGGAAATGTTTGAGAGAGAGGGAATAGTACGTGCTTAGGTCTGAAGCAAGAAAGCTTGGTTTGTACAGGAAGAAAGAGAATGGCTAGAGCTCAGAGCCTGAGAAGAAGGAAAGTGGGCATGTCGTCAGAGTTAGGAAGGCAGGCTTAATAACGGATTTGTGGAGCACAGCAGAAAGTTTGAACTTTATTCTCAAGGGACTGTGAGGACACTGGAGGGTTTTTATCTCTAATAAATACAACACTGTGCTCTGGGGAGGAATTTGCACGCCTTCCTGTAGCTCCGTTTTAGGATTAACTATTTGTCTATGCTGTGGGAGTAACTTCTGGGGATACCACATTGGTTACACGTGGGCACCCCCTGGTGGAGCTGGAGGCTCAGCTTGTGTGGTTTCAGATCACCAGTAACAAAATTCATGAGCAATTTATTCTTTTATTTAACAAATATTTATTGGATGCCTACAGGGTGTCAGGCTTTGTTCTAGTGCTGACATATATCCATGAACAAAACAAACATGTGCTCTCATGGAGCTTACATTCTGGTATGTGTGGGTGTGGGGACAGAGACATTAAACAAATGGAGTATATAACAAAAATTAAGAGGGGGACTGAATTAAGATGTGTAGGGAGGATGGTGCTTCAATTTCAAACATAATATCAAGGAAAAACACGTAGCAGGGGTGTCAAATTTATTTTCACTGGGGGGTCACACTGGCTTCACAGTTGCCTTCAAAGGGCAAATGTAATTTCAACTCCTTAACAGTTAAGGAGTTGTCACATTTATACACTCCTAAAATTATTTCAGCCCTTTGAAGGCAACCTTGAGGCTGACGTGTTCCCCGGTGAAAATGAGTTTGACACCCCTGAAATAGAGTGTCAGGGAAGGTCTCGTTAAGAGGGTGACATTTGAACAAAGAGGTAAAAGAGGTGACAGGGAATGGGGGAACAGCATTCTATTGCTATTTTCCCATTGTAGTATTGCTACTGATAGTAACTGATAATACTGCTATTATCTGGGGGAACAACATTCTAGGCGGAAGGACCAGCAAACACAAAGGCCCTGAGTCTATGTTGAGGTTTGAGGAACAGCAAACAGACCAATGTTCCTTGAGTAGAGGGATAATGGAGAGAGTAGGAGATGAGGTTAGTTGTGCTGAGGAGGGGTGGTGTCAAATCTTGAGGGTGCTGAAGGCCAATGTAAGAATTTTGGTTTCCACTTTGAAATAGGGACCCACTGGAGGAGCAACATGATCTGATCAAGGTTTTAATTGAAGCCCGCTGATGTGTTCATTTATTGTGGGAGAGCAGGGGTAGGAAAGGGCAAACAGTTACACATTTACTGAGGCTGTAAGCGTTCTGACTCTAGATAGATTTTGAAGGCAGATCTGTGAACTTGCTGATGAATGTGGGGGTGAGAGTGAGGAGTCAAAGATCTTAGTACGTAAATGGTATCACTTAGTCAATTGTCATAGGAAGAGGTGGTCCAAGACTACAGCCAAAAACTTTACCAAAAAAGTATCTTAGAAGCATATCAAGCAGTTAACTAGTACTGTGTAATTTTTCTGGACCTTGTGTTAATGAAATATTAAAAAAATTAATTTAGAATTTTCTTAAAGAGGGCCCCCAAATTGAATAAATTTCAGGCCTCCACAAACCCTGACTTCAACCCATATTGGGGTAAAGTTAAGAATAATTAAAAATTTTTGTTTATGACAAAATAATTACATAAAATAATGTGCATGAAACATAAGTTAATTGTAAGCTAAATACAATTAGTTATAAGCTAATATTAGGGATAGAAACATCACCTTGGACTTCCCTTCCCCCACATGTATCTTCCAAAACTTCCCACTCGTTCTCCCACTGTTTTTTTAAATCCAACAAAGGCATTTCTCCTTATGTTTGTTATAGAGAAGCACGGATTGAAAGGACCTAGAAAAATGAGAAGGGACGCCCAGAGAGGTGTAACCAGGGGCGGGGCTCGCCGGATTAAAGAAATGGACTGGGCCCCGCCCTGTTTGTCCTGACACATGCGCCCAGGGGCTTCTGGTGGAATGAGGAGTGGATTGTGAGGTGACCCTGGACTGTAACTTCCGGTTCCTAGGGATGCGCATCCGGGTCAAGCTAACGCCGCGGTTTCCTCCACCCGCTTGGTTCTTCTGTGGGTCTGGACTGGTCCCCATGTCGGACTGCGGGGTCCCTGCAGCCTTCGGGTGAGTCTCTGCTGCCGACAGGGTTTGAGCGAGGCCGGACAAGTACAGTCGGTTGAGAGACGGGTCAAGAATTCTGTCCTGATCCCTGTGGGGTGTGGGTTCTCTTGGCTCTGCTTCCCTCACTTCAGCCCTTTGCCTCACGCTGGCCTCGCCTAGTTCACTTCAACTTAGCCTTTTTCGTTTCACACACCTTTCGCCTGACTGTTTTTGCTTAGCCTTACCCGCTTCATACAAGCCCCGGCTTTTTGCCTTTCTGCCTCAGAACTTCCGTCCGCCACTGCCTCTGGATTTCTTCCTTCTTCTCACTTCAACACCTCTGCTCCCCGACCCCTGCTCCCGGGATCTCGCTGTTCTTTTACCCAGCTGGTCGGCCCGCCGCCTCATTGTGGTCATTCTCCACTGTGAAATAGGGTCCCAGGGACTTGTCCTCCAACTTTCCTCACTTTTGACCCCTCCCGGGACTAGTAGGTGACACCTGTGCTTCGCCTGGGGTTCTCCCGCCTTTTCTTAGCTAGCAGAGGGCTGTGCCAAACCCCGGATCGGGGCAGATTTACCCGGCCTGGGGGAGGTTTTGCCTAGAGGCGCCGGGTTAGACTGAACTCTGGTAGCTTCCGCTAGCTAGGGAACAACAAAGGCGTTCCCAGTGCTGGGGGCTATCCCTAGAACGGGATGGCAGGTGGTAGGCTCCGCAACTAGGAGCAATTGGACTTCAGTGATCTTGGTAATTGACAGGTCTTGAGGGAGTCCTATTGTTTTGGTGTTCTCGATTTCCCGAAAATGGAGACGTGCACGCTTAAGGCAAAAATGCTAGGTTCTGGGATGATCAGCCGTTTTCTCCTTGTGCTTTACTTACGAACAGTTGCTGTGACAGAGGACAGAGTTTCTAGAGAGATTATTAACCCCTAGGTTTTTAAGTTTATTGCCAAAAAATCTTTGCAGAAAACGGAAACGTTTTCTGCTGGAGAGTTCACTAGAGTCATTTCAAAGTACGTTTTCTTTAATTGAACTCAGTGGGCACATGTGTCTTTATCCTTGTCTCTTACACATTCTTTCTTCGTTTTTACTGTATTGGCAACTTTGTTTTTCTTCTGGTTTCTTCATAAGCCAGACATTACAGTACTTTATTTCTTAGAATATTCTTTTATTTTTTATTTTTTCCGCCTTAGTCTTAAAACCATATTTTTCTCATTTTGATACTTTAATTTCTTAAATTTCTCTGAAATGAAGGGATTGGTGTTAATAATGGTTAGTGTCCTGTTTCCCAGATTTTGTTATCTGAGGTGTATTTTGAGATACAGGGTTGGATAATTTTTATTTTTGTTTTTCCGATCTTTATGGTGTGTGTCTAGCATTTGATTGCGAAATGTTTTTGTGTGGTCAGTTTCTATAATTATATAAATTGTGTTCTGAAATTTAGTACTTTGGTGAACAGAATAAATACAGCTTTTAGCACGTGCTTCTCTTTAATGAGTGATAGAACAGTCTCCCTCATTACATGATACATACACATATGTGAACATAGCATAGACCATTGCTTATTCCAAAATTGGGCTGGTCCCTTCATCTATTTTTAGCAAAGGACTTTGGAACTTAGCCATATTAGTCCCCCTGTAGCCATAGAAGCCACAGAAAAGGACCCTTCTTGTTGGTTTTCAGGACCTAACTGCTGAGGGAAGCCCCTTTAAAAGCTCCTCCTGAGCAGTACTCTTCTCCAGCATCTACACTGGAAACTCTAGCTTCTGTTCACCGTGGCCTCAACGTTTCCCATCCTTAAAAACTAACCCCAATGAATATGGACTGACTCTGTCTTACTGCTTCTTTACCTCCAGGTTTGTGGACATTTTTCCTTTTTCTTTTAGCATGGGCACTCCATAGATAGTCTGTATTTGGTTTGATGCAAAGACCTCTTCCAACTTTTTTCTTTTAAGAAAGACTTTATGTATTTATTTATTTAGGGAGAGGGGAAGGGAGGGAAGAAGAGAGGGCAAGAAACATCCATCTATGAGACAAACATCTATCAGTTGCCTCTCCTGTACCCCCTGCCCTGCAACCCAGGCACATGCCCAGGAATTGAACTGGTGACCTTTTAGTTTGGAGGTTGATACCCAAGCCACTGAGCCACACCAGTCAGGGCTCAGCCTTTTTTATTTCTTGAGCATTTCTAAGTCTAAACCCAGATAGATTTCTAGAATTTATGGAGGAAACCATAGAGTTCAGACTTACTCCTTCATTTTACAAATAAGGAAATCAGGGCTTAAAGGATTGGTGATGATTTATCCAAAGTCATATATATATAAAAAATCACAAATAAAGAAGGCCTATACATGCATATAGCGAAGTGGGTTTTAGTTTTATCAAAGCTGTAGGCTTGTGAGCACAATATAGTATTTAGTGGTTTATTTCTATACATTTATGTTGGAATGAAAGTTTTAGGGTAATATATCTATGACAGACTTTTAAATTTAAAGAAGGACTCTAGAAAGGAACTGTTATGCAGAAGAAGCTGCAAATTTTAGGGAGTCTCTTCCTCTTCTAAAATCACTTCTGCCTATTATGGTATAAATTCTGCACGAAAGCCCTTACGTGAAACAAACATCCTGTACTCTAATTGGAACAGTTGTGTTCCTGTTCCTGGTCTTCACACAGAACACTGTTACTTTCTAATTACTGAAAAGCCTGCGCCTCTTACCTAGCTGCCAAACGAAAACAAAAAAAATTACTAGAGACAGTTTAGTGTGTACAGTGAGTCCTCACTTAATGTCATTGGTAAGTTCTGTGACTCTAAGTGAAACAACATGTAATAAAACCAGTTTTACCATAGACTAATTAATACAAACAAGAGTTAAGTTCCTGTGCATCTCATCAACGTTAGAACAAAATGATGTTATTTGAGGACCAGCTGTATATATTTTTAAAGCTCAGGAGAGGACTTACTGTCGGCTTTCTATAGAAATTTCTACTTTAGTTAGGCAAAATCTTTGTTTATAATCCCGAGAGTTTAAAATATATTTTTGCACATTTTATGTCTCCCAGTTTGTTTTGATTTGGTTTATATTTTGTTGTTACTTTTTGACATTTTACTTGTGTACTTTGTTTTACATGTTTTGATTTTTATCCTTGAGCTTAGGATATGTTTTAAGGAAAATTCAGTTTTAAAAATTACATCTCCTTCATCTGCTTACCATTTGTATCTTGTGGTATGAGTTTCTGTGATCTGCCAAGGCCACTTCATGGCTCCATGCTATTTGTTTTGCTTACAGATAAAGGCTCATGGAACTTCTTTTTTGGTACATTGTCTAAAAGATTTTTGTGTTCTGCATATGAAAACAGGATATTTTAATTTATGTGTGATTTAAATGGAGGAAGAATTTTTCAAATTAGTTCAACCTAGAAATATTTTGAAATATATTTAAGGATATTAGGAATAGTTTATTCTTCCTATACTTTCACTTAATTGGTTTATACCAAGAGATTGAATTATTATATTTATAGTATAATAAATATGCTTTTATATTTATAGTATAAAATAGAAATATACTTATAGTATAAATATAAACATAAATTTATAAATATAAATTTACTATAAATAATAATTATATTTATAGTAAAGTCACAATGAGGCGGGCTTTCTATCTGCTGATTAACTTAAAAATACAATGCACGTTCTTGTACAGAATATGTGTCTTAAGCTATAAACTGACTTATTGATAGTTTTATTGGCAGAGAACATAGCAAACAATGGAACAGCCGCCACATTGTCGTGTTGATATTTTTATTTGGTCCCACAAACCTAAGCCCTTGAATATCTAGTTATTAAATGTAGAGATGGGGTATTTTCTCCATTATTTACATTAAAGAATAGATATTTGAAATATGGGCTTCATAAAATTTATCTTTACTGTGTTCCCCTTTTAAATATTTAGTAGTATTTTAAGTGAGAAAAGAAAAAGTGTGAATAATGCTGACTGTAAGTCAACAGATCAACCCAAGGCAGTCAGTACTTAATATTTTAATGATGTTACTACAGATCGTGATGGATGCACCCTAACCTGTTAGCTTGGTTGATACTTGTAAGAGTGAGGCTTCTTTTTATTCACCCTAGACAATAGCAGTGATTTTTGTAATACATTTCTTTCAGCATATTTCCTTTAGATACCTACTATGTACAATTAAAATACATAAATAGGCTATTCACATGAAGTAGGTGACATTAGTGTAAATTACTAAATTAGCGTAAATGGTTTAATTTAGATATGTACAAATGAAACCAAATTCAGTATTTAAGTGTAAATGTCAGTCCTACGTCTTCAGGGTGTAGCAAAAAAAAAGAGAGACACATAATTAGAATTCAAAGAGGTTTAACTCTAAGAAAAGTGTTACTCATGAGTGACAATGATATATGATATATGATATATTTTAAGCCTTGATTTTATGATTTTCTATTGTTTTCAAAACACTCAGTGGTTTCTCATGATTATCTGAGTTTAAGGTTCTTGTGTTACTCTGCATCACAGCTTAAAATAAAATATTCTTTATAGGTACCATTAAATAATTTTCATTTAGGAAGCTTTCACACCTGAACTGTAAAAATCTATAATGGTAAACAGTAAAAATAAAAGCCAACTTTATACAGCACTTAGTCTGTGCCAGAAACTGTTCTAAGTGGTTTACATATATTAACTTTTTAATCCTTAGGACCCTAAAAACTATACTGTTCTTATCTTCATTTTGCAAAGGAGAAAATGAGGGGACAGAAGTTATATAACTTGCCTAAACTAACAAAGCCTAGTTATCAGGAGAGCTGGATTTTGAACTTCGTCTTTTTGTCTCCAGAGTTCATGACCTTTTTGTACCTGGTTCTACTGATTTAGTGATTCTTCTTTTTTAGGTTAAGAAAGAAATCCAATTTCTCTGAAACACAAAAGAATACTGCTTCTGGTTGGGAATCTTAGGGTGACCTGGTCTTTTTATTAGTGCTTAGGGCAAATTACAAACCCTTT